TGACTTATCAAAGTTTACATATGTAGTGTGCAACAAGGATACAACTTTTCCTTTGCCTTCTTTCCCATTTGTGATTTTATTATTCTTGATTTTTATCAAACACTGACCACCAAACTAAATTGGTCTTATATCAAGAGTACATGACGATACTAAAAGAATGCTTGAGTGAAAATCAAAGATGGTAATTGGTAAAGGTGTTGCTATAGTTGTGAAAATTTTTCTTGAAAACTACAAGAAAGAAATGTAAACCAATATTACTATAAATCAGTTTGTAGGGATGTTTTGAAGAAGGTGGCAATTTGAAATCCTTGAAATATGATGCATTTTACAAATTATGATATCAATTGTCTCCTCAGATTTCACAAGAACATGTTTGTGTGATGCTCTGCCAACATTTCAAAAATAATCTGCTTGTAAAGAAGAGGTCAAAATCTTAAAGAAATTCAAATAACATCTATTAAAAGCAAATTAGAAAGAGATTATTATAACAAAAATACCAAGTTTGCTGAAGAACAATGAAAGTCATTGATCAAAGTTATTCAAGCCCTATAAAAATTTGGTATGGAAAAATGCGAATTTCAGGTAAAATTCCATACAGTTTTCCATTCATTATAGTTATTATTGAGCCTAAAAATGTCCATTTACCATATTCTGATTAATGTGCAGGTAAGGATCTATTATCTATTTGGTATTCAAGACAAAGTAGCACAAGAACAAATTGATAGTGATCTTGATGATCTTGTAGAAAAAGGACACTTGGGGTATGGTTTTTGATGGAATTAAGAAACTGAATAAGGCGAGAGGCATCTGAAGATTCCCTGTAATAATGCTGGTGGACAAAATAAAAGAATGTAACCATTTTTGTTTCATTATACCTAGTAATGGTTATTATGAGATATTGAATTTAATTTCATGATTTCAGGGCATACCAAATTCCAATGTGATGACAGTTTTGGATTAATCAAAAACTCTATTGAAAGGTAAATGTAGATTGTGTGGATATCATAAAAATTTCTTGATGTTAGTAGTGCTGGATTGAATAAAACTCTAGTTTAAAGGGTCATTATAAGAAGTTGGATGGTATTATGAATTTCAACATTTTTTTTGAAGCTCCCGACCCTGGTATTGTGAAAACTTGAGAGATTGCTAATGGTCCCTTTTCATGAATTTACTTTATTGTTTTGGAAGGTTATGTTTTCTGGTTTTCAAATAAAAAATAATATTTCTATATGATACCTACTCTTGGTATCAAAAACATCTTTACAATAATATTTGTCCATTTGTAAGAGATGGATTTAAAGATATCACTTGTCCAATTTCTTTATATGGTTTCATAATGCACTTTTGTTAGTTATAATTTTTCTTGGTGATTCATTAGTATTTTGGCACTATTTATAAAGAACAAAATTTTCAGCCTGTTTCTTTTTCAACATGTGGGAGCTTTTTAATAGAAAAGAACCATGATTTAAAAATTGATTTCAATTTTGAATTTTAGAGAAAAATATCTCCAAAATTTACTAAAAGTGAGCATGATTTCTAATTCCAAGTGAAAAGTTGTATATAATGGTGACAACAACTCAAAATTGCTTTTTCACGCCATGGGTCCTTTTCTATTGAAAATCCCTCATATACACTGAAATATTACTGTGATGGTAGTAGATAAATAACCCTATTACTATATACAGTAGACCAGTGGCCATAAGAAAAGTAAAAGAGAAGTAGCTGAGTAATTATTCCATATCTAAAATTATAAATTATGTTAACTACAAAAAATGATAATGTCTATTTTTTTATAGAAATAGATATGATTGAGAGAAGATAAACTTTATTAACAAAAACAAAAAAAGAAAAAAGAAATAAGTAGATGGATGAAAGTTTGAATTAGCAGATAATAACATTAGAAGTCTCTTATTGAGAAGAGGATATAGAAGTTCCAAGAACCATGGCCAATATAAAAAAAAAACAAATTTCAAGAATTAAATTTTAGAATAAAGAAAGGTTAAATAAAGAGCCAAGAAATAATTGTCTTAAAGAAAAAAAATTAACTGATGAATTGCAAAAAAACCAATGATCAATTATTGAATAAGTTAAAAGGCCAGAATTAAATTCAAATATCATAAACAAAAGAGATAATTTATTTTTAAGTTAATAACAGCAACAAACAAAAATAAATTTTATGTAATACCAATAATATTAATAATAATAATGAAAACGATGATAATAACAAAAGGCGAAAAAGAATCACCATACTAATACTATTACTTGTTTACTACTTATTTATCATATTTAATACCTATTTGTTTTGGTCATGTTTATGGAAAAAGATTTTTAAAAAGGACAAGAACATATGTAATATTAATACCTCGTAAATTGTTATTTATTTATTTTCTCAACATTTTGATAATCTCTATATAAGAATAAAATTATGATCAAAATCTGAATATATAACGCAAGGGGCTCTCATCATATGCTTCCATTTTCTGAACCGCAATTTATTATTTTTACCTTTTTCTGGAAGCTCTGTAAATTGAGGCCCATCTGTATGACCATGGCAATACTTTTGGTGCTTTCTAAGTGTTTTTTCTGATGTGGAGTATTCCCCACCTCGGGTACATAAATGCTTCTTACCTTTATGGTTTGTATTTGTGAATATAAGCTTATTTGGATTTTTAATCCATAAATAATGTGTTTTTTCTTTTCCACCTATAGATTCTTCATTTAGCACTTAAAGATTAACCTCATATTTTCTTGTATAATCTTTCGAAATTACAAGAGGTTGCATACCTGCTTTATCATTCCAGTCATTTACATTGAAATAATAGTTTTTCAAATATGGGGCATGGACAATAATAGAAAGGGACCAAATGTCAAAATCAAAAAAAAAAAGATTTTGACCCAAAAACTCGGAAATTGCATATCATTTCTATATTCATGACAAAA